GCCTCTATCTGCATTTTATTCTTTTCGCCGTCTTTCGGGCGGTTTCTGGATGCGGCCCTCGGGCCCTGGCGAATGTGTAAGCACGCATCCCGAGACGAAGCTAACAAAACAGAGGACAAAAAATGCAAAGATAGTAAGTGAACCGAGCGTGTTCTGTGGCCAAGCAGCAAATCTGCACCTGGCTTTCGTTATTCACTGCCGCATGGGATGCTGCTGCAGGTGGTACACTGGGCAGGGGACGTGTAACTTTAATGGTTGTGTTTGCAAAGAGTTTGCTACAGTTCCTGCTTGCAGGCGATGCGCTATATGGAAAAAACTCTTTGAATTTCCGGCTCATGTAAAATAAAGACCCCCGTTTCCATTGCCAACAGAAACTATTTTGATCCTTAAGTTGGTTTAAAAAGTGATCCCGCCCACATTAAGAAGCCTCAGCACATCTTCCCCACTATAAGCTGGCACTGTGTTTTTGTACAATTAAACAGTTTTTTGCCGTAAAAATGTCTTTGTAACTCTTTAATTATTCTAACAGGGATTTACGACTTTTTTTCAAAGACAACGCCAGAGAAAAATGCAATGTTTCTAAATGTTCAGCCGGCTACCTAAGTGTAACTGGCCTTTCTGTCTATATTATTGACTTTAAGTCAGGAATCTACCCAATTTATTTTTGGTTTCGTCATTGACTAAAAATGTAAAGCTGAAGTGCAGCTGCCACACATCAGTCACACAGCGCCACGCTGCAGTGACGGCCAATAAAGCGTTGGGGCCCTTCAAATCTTTGTTGAAATGGCATCTAAGGATATTATGAACTCCGACAGGCTCCACAGAAACTTGCAAACCCTCGGAGAACGATTACGCTTAGAAAAGCCGCGATGGCGGATTGGAAAGGGAGCGGATTGAAGGACAGGTCTCCACAGTACCGACCTCCTCCTGAGAGCTTGTGACTGTGCTACACGCTGAACCGTCTCTTTTGCTCTGTGTCAATCATTACGCAGTGATACATTCTGTGCTCTGCAGTCGTCTCCCACTTGGCGTCCAAGAAAAAAAAAAAAAAGAGGTGTCCTTGCCCTGAATATGGGCCCCGCGATGGGACGGAAAGGTCACACAGCGTGGTGTCAGTGGGACAGCGGAGCTAAAAGTATCCTAATGATTCTGCACGAAACAGCGAGGATTATAACCAGCAAACTGTGCTCTTTACAACAATTAATTAAAATGCTCCAGATATAAAACGGAAAGGTGAACTCTCTCCCTGAAATGCTACACTGACGTGTTGAAAGTAGTCACAATGATATATTCTCTTTATTTGAATTTCCAGTCTTTTCTTTCTTGACTAGTTGGTTTCTTATTTCAGCACAGCGAGTCCCCCGTGGTACTCGACCGCCACCGCGTCCAGGTTTCCCTTTGAGCCCCCCTCCACCCCTGGGCCCATGGGTGTAATCAAAACAACCCACAACGTGCTGAAGAAAACCTCCCACCTGCATTGGAAGAGGAAAATTGAAAGAAACACACTGAAAGAGCGAGGGGACAAATACAACACTGGTGAAATGTGCACAGGCGAAGCGAGAGCTAACGAGGGGCTGGAGGTTCTGGTGCCGGGCCGGCTAGCTGCATGTGAACTCAATATTATGAGGCCTAGCAGGAAGCGGGAGTAAGTAGGACTGGTGGCGGAAGCTAGCGGAGGAGGAGGGTGGCGTCTCCCAGGCTTTTCTTCTTTCTTTTTTTTTTTCCTCCCTCTCACTCTTCTATACAATCCTGGCCAGATGGTGTTCTCATTGAAGACATTATAAAGCGAAATGAGAATTCGAATTAGGAGTAGACCGGCCGGGTGTGGTCGTCCCATCATGCCGCACACTTGTTTTTATTCCTTAGAATACACGTAAATGACAGAAATAAATTGTGAAAGAGATTGAGTGCTACACAAGACTTTCCTCAAGGTCAGTTTCTAGAGGATTAAATAGTGTTTTAGCTTATTTTATCCACAGCAGATGTGGTCATCTTGACGACAGCTTCAACAGTAAAACCGCAGTGCTGCTTCTAAGCGACTAGTCCTCTAAGTCTAAGCTCTGTACTCCAGTAAAACGATAAGACGTGCAAAGTGTGTGATTACAATATAGCTGATGGGGGGCAGAACATAAAATCCTGCAATTGCAAATTGGTGCACAGAACTAATATATTGGGCCAGATAACGGCAGAGTGGCTTGATGCTTCAGAGCCCTGCTAAACTTTGTGGTTCAGCTGATTGCAGTTCCGGTGAACAGTGTCTTACGTGCCGCGATAGATACATTCAGCGCTCAACTAAAAGCCATGTGATGCAGCAGGGGAGCAGCAGAGCTTGGCATTAGGACACGGCTCTGTGGGTAGAGTCCCAAACGTACAGCACTTATGAACACAACCGGGCTGAGACGGAAGAACCGTCCTCAGACCCTCAACAGGCAATTATCCCGCTCCCTACAGCTGAGAGCAGTTTCATCAAGGAGGGAGAGGTCTTATTTAAAAGTCTATCAGGGGGGTGGGAGCACGTCTGTGGACGGGTGCTCATCTGTCCATCTGTGCCTCCAAATCCCCCCGGTCGACCTAAAGCCCTTTTACACCGAACCAACAACCGGAGGAAAGTGTTGTGTCTGCTCTTGTTAACAAGACCAGTTATGACAGTCAAGCGCAAGATCCCATTTGCTGCGAGGATGAAAACAAGTCACAGTGCTTCAGAGCTTCAGAGCTTCAAAACACACTCGCACGCTGTGGCCATTGATTGAGTCCACGGCAGTAACATCTAGCTGAGACCGTAAGTCCAGTGATGAAAGATTCATTGTAAACCATTTTCATGAGCGTCTAATCATTTGAATGCAAATGAATGATTTCTTTTTTCAAAACACTGTATATTGAATATTTGATGTTTTTGTCGTTAAACAGCGTGTCGGGAAAACGGTCATTTTTTGTTGGGATTTTGCAGACAAAAAAAGTCAATCAAACATTAAACGCCATTATACCAACTATTGACTTCCACTCCTCTTGACCGTAAAATGAGACGTATCAGAAAACCAGCCAGATGTAGCTGTACGTCTTGTGAAGTTTCACTTTACTTTAAAACAATGGAATTGAATACAGTCCAACAGCTGGAAACGCACTGCTCAAGCCAGCACCAGCAGGCGGACGGCGCCGTTCTCAACGGGCGGGATACCGCTATGTGCTTCCATTTGTTTGTACATTTTATTGTGGAAAAAATATGAAATACTAAAGAATAAAAACAAATGTGGGCGATTCATCGCTGGGTGGTTTCAAACCCAGAACCTTCCTGCTGTGAGGCGACGCCCCATTGTTTGGTTTGTGGATTAATTCAAAATAATAAGTGTGGACTGCTGCTGCCAGCACAGGAACCCATAAGAACCAGAGGCACAGGATGAAATGAGGAAGGGCAGTAAGTGATGATGAGCAGAGTTGAAAAGCTGCAGAAGTGGTTTCCTCCAAAAGTTGGTGAATCCATCCAGCAACCAAACAACAGTGACTTTCCCCACTTGCATTTATTGTAGGGAAGGAAAAAGAAATCCAGTGATGCCCAAAGGCTCCGTTTCTGCTGGGTGAGTAAAAGGTGTTTGCTGACACATTCAAACCAAGCTTGATAAAGCATGAGATGGTATCAAGGCAGCTGTAAGCTTGAGCGTCCGAAAGCGCACTCGCATCCAACAAACATTCAGGATCTCAAGTGTAAAATAAGTTTCAAGCGACCACTTTCTTATTGTATTTAGCAGTGATGTATGCAAACCTAACAACTGTGGACCTTTGTCTCTGCTTGTCTTTGATTATTTGAATAAAAGTACAGTAATGCGGTTTTTAAAAGACAGGTAATATGCTGCCCACTCAAGTGGGAAGTGTCCTCTCCCCTTCTTGTCTTCTACAGCTGTACATGCAAACTATTATCTGATGAGATGTTTGAATGACACTGAGCTCCTCTCTTTGTACCCAAGTCCTTAACAACACTATCTGAGGGACAATTCCTTTTTAAATTTAAACGTATATCCTTGCAACACACACACACACACACGTGTGCAGCAAGTTAAAGCAGGTGGTCCAGGGAAATACAGCAATGTCATTTCTAATAAGGTTCGTCATGGAGAGGACACACGAAGAGAAGAGACAGGAACAGACACTGAAGTTGGATGAGCAGCGTCAACGTGGATCCATCCACCCAAATGAGAAATGCGCGTTGATATTAGAGGCTTTAAAACAAGCAATTTATGTTGTTGTTGTTGTCTCAAGAGTTACCAATTAGGAGATACATGTTTAATCTGCTGGTGCTCTGCTCATTAAAATTATACTCCGGGTCTACCAATGAAAATATCACCGCGTAAGCTTTAATTTGTTTAGGAAACAGGGCATTGGGGCGATACTAATTTGTCATCATAATATTGCCTGCTTTTATTTAGTTAGTTCAGTAGGATCTGCTGTTCCGTGCCTTCTCATTTCCAAACAACCACGTTTTGAATGCACTAATAGTTCAAAGTTGGCATCAAGTGTTCTGTTTTTGAAGAGAGGAACTATAGCTTATGGGAAGCTTATTAAAGTCGTATGGCTTGGTTTGGTTTGTGGCTGTGATGGAAGTGACCCCCCCTCCTCTTATCAGTGCAGAGTATGCACTATATCAGCATGATGTGGACGAGGTCGATATTGCGCCAATGCAAATACGTTTTATTTATTTATTGCACGCCATGGCAGAGAGATGTATGGTTTTCTGTTCCACCGCATGCAGAGCGCAGCGGTGTGCAAAGGAGCCGCTGCTTGGTTTGGAAAATGCAGGATTAGGTAAAGACAAGTCAGGCGTTTATTCGGAGATTCCAAGAAGTGGGGCAAAGTGCCCTCCACGACACACGGGTCTGGTAACGCGCCACTGGAGGCTGCGTCACCGGTGGTATCCAGTGCAAAAACTTTTCAACACCCCCCACACACACACATCCGTTTTCATAAAAGCCCCCCCGTGTAGAGATGTTTTTAATCAAAATGAAACTTACCACCCCGGTGTCCAGCTCCTCATTTGTGAGAGAAGGAGCCGCTCCAGTCAGAGGTAAAAAGCACAATAGGTGCAGCCACAGCAGCATCTCCGGGGAAATAAATCCTCCTCCACGTGTGAAGCGCCACAGAAGTCACGAAGCCCTTTGACAGGCGGATCCTGCTCAGACACCGACCCCCAGCAGCCTCATCCACAGGGAGGGAGGGAGGGGAGGGGAGGGGAGGGGAGGGGGCGAGGGAGGGTAACAAATCACACCGCCGACAACTCGCGTAAAAACGTGCCCGTCTGCCTCACTGTTGAGCGCAAACACGTGAAACACATCAATGCAAACCGGCGCGCGAGGATGTGCAAGTTCGGTTCGGTTCCCCCACCAAACGGTACTTGTTAACTACTGCGTTTTCCAGATGACAAAAAGTGTATTTTTTCTTTTTTGTTCCCGTATCAAGTGCATCACGGGTGAGATGATCCCCGCAGCGAGAAGTGCGAGCTCCCCTCCTGCAGGCGCGGTCTCGAGCACCGGGGGAGGAGAGAGGGAGGAGAGGGGGAGGAGAGCAGCTGCGTGCGCTTTTAGTCCCGAGAGCGGAGGAAGGCGCGTGTTGACGCACACCGGCGGGGAGAGTGGACGGAGTGTCTGGCCCCGACGGATCCACGGGAGGGGAGGGGAGGGGAGGGGAGAGGAGGGAGGGAGAGGGGACGGAAGGTGGGTGCAGAAAAGGGCGCCTCCTCAGCTCCGCTTGAAAACTGCCTGATTCATAGTTTGAGCGTCTTGAGATGTTGAGAACGAAGGACATGACTGTGTTGCTTCACAGTGTGTCAGCGTTGAGTGGGTCTTATGTGCTTTTATAGCAAGGCTGCTTTCGAATTTGCATTCTATTTTTTCTTTATTAAAACCTTAGAAACCCAAATTGGTGTGACATGTGCTAAAGGTATTAAGAGCTGTGTTCCAAATTGTCTCCTTTTTATAATTACATTAGACCGCATACCACAGATGCTTCAAAGAGGTATTTACAGTATGCATTCGATTGGGGCGTACTACTTCTTTATGATATATATATATATATATATATATATATATATATATATATATATATATATATATATATATAATGTGCTGCACAAAGGATTGTGGGTTGGAATAGCCAGAAAGGCTCGGTTGCTAACTGCAAATCGCCACTGGATGCAATATGTATTCTGGGGGTTTGTTGCATTTGACACACGTGTGAGGACGCTCAATGGTTTTTTGTCTGTTATTCTAAACAGAATGGTTATTAGAATTCACAGCTTTCATAGCTGTCAGTTCTTACACCCCCTTGGTTCACTCGGACACTCGATTGCCTCAACTTTGAGCATCCCTCAGGATGAATCGGAATAAATAGTGATCCCGGAATTTCCATCAAGCGCTACCATTATTTGAACTTTTAAATGTGTCTCATACTTTGGTTAATGGCCACATACCTGCAAAACAAACGGATGGAGACTGAATTAATTCTTCTGCCGATTTGGCCGGCAGATTGGCGTTCTGAACCACCTGCCTGATGGCAACACCTGGTGTTCTGTTCAAAGCTGCGACGGGCTTTTAGATTAAACAAATGACTGACATCAGCCAATGGCAAGGACGGTAGAAAGAAGTCTTGATGCAGCCTCAAGGACTCATTCAGTGTTTCTATTTCACTGCCATCAGAAACAATTCTCAAGCTAGATTACAATCCTGTTCTCTGTCCGAACTTCAGTTAGTCAGATGAATAAAACGTGACATCTTTTAAGGACATGTGGACTAGCAAGTTCAGCACATTTTAGAAAGCAGGGACAAACATTGCTACCGCTATAACTACTTACGCTGTAATGATGATACACACTTTGAATTAAGACAGTGAGCATTCAAACAGTAAATTATGCCAAACAAAATAAACACATCAGTGGAAGCTAGCTCACCGAAGTATAGAAACTACATATGTTTCTGAAATGCAAAGATGTTTTATTTTGTACCCCTCATTACACTTCTATTATTTATTTTTTTACCATATTGGGAAAACATCAGAGCAAAGCACCAAACAATTTGCTGAGATGCAGAGATAATTATTGCATGAAACTGCGGCATTATCCCACTGCTTTCTTCCTCCCAGAAAATACTAATGCGCTTATTTATTTATATTTTTTGTTGTTGCGTAATATCAAAATCCGTCAGGTAACGAAGGAACACACTGTGCCACATGACCCTGCAGCTTATTAGACGTTTAATGGAGCCGCCTCATGGTTGATGGCAAGTGAATTAAAGAACCTGGATATAAATGTAAACTGAGTGACTGTTGATTGTTTTAAATCCAACGTGCTCTTGTTCTTGGTATGAACCGACACGCACGCAGAGAAAGACACACTTCTAATTCTTATTCAGATCCTTCACAGCAGTCATTCATCACTGGTCCAGAAGGAAAACACATGAAAAATGTCTTCCTTTTTTTTCGCTCAGCAGCATTAAGTTCTGCTCCTCTGGTATTGCCTCCAGTCCCAGTTAGACTTGCTGTACAGCCTCGATATTATGATAATTGTAGCAGCTTAATATTGTGTCTCATATTTCTGCTGGCAAAAATAAGCTTCAGTCATTCAGTTTCACATTAAGGGAAAGTTAAAACATCAATTTACTCATCTGTCCGCTGTCCACGTTTGACCTGAAGTGCTTCACTATCATCAGACTAAATTCCCAGAGAACATTATCCCATTCTCTTTGGTCAGATCATATCACTATTAGAAAACCCACTGCCCAGGGTGGACACGGACTGAATTGAGTTTGTTGGCTGCAATTGATACAGATGCATTTTAAAATCTATTACAGCAGAATGTGCCAAGTCTGCTGCAGGCATCTTACACTGCCGAGGTTAAAACTCATACAATAGATGAATATTTTCAAATATCTGTCTTTACTATTGCATACCGTCATGTAGTATCTCTGAAAGGTGACAAAAATACTTTTCTGGTAAATTGGTGCCATAGCAACGTCTACTCTAACCTCTTTTTTTTGGATTGACCAACAGTTGCCACTTTTCTTTTGCAGCAAACACACTTACGGCGCCGCTGGAGCTGCCAGTGGTGCCTCTCAGGACGCTGATTGGTCCTGCTACTTGCTGTCTACGTTCAAACTCATCACTTGAAGTCGGACAAGAACGACCTTTGTATGATTTCTTCTCACAAGAATCCAGCTGCTGTGCAATGTAAACAAAAAAAACTCCTCCAAAAATTGTCTCCCTCTTAAATTTAGTAAAAATATGCATATGTAACATATTTTACCAAATTGGCCCCATCAATAGGGAAATTAAAATTTGATTAAATTACATTTCCATTGATAAAGCACTTAAAATATAAATCAAGTTTGGATTGCAGTCAGTACTCCCATTATCAAATCAAACATTACAGTCACACACTGAGCTGAAAAGAGTACAAGTGCAGAGGTAAGAGAGGTCAAACAGGAAGTTTAGTTCATGTCCATACTAAATATGCAATTCATTCATATATTTCACACAATTTCTTCATAGGATCATTGATTTCATGATATTTGTTTAAAGCAGCGTCAGTAGGCGTTGTACAAGTAAAATGTACAAAAAGATATATGAAAAAATACATTACACTATTTCTTGAATTTACCTGAAAACACCTTGTAACACAGCAGGATGCCTCTCATACATTATGAGTGTGCTTCATGCTTGTTTTAGGAGGCCAACAAGAATGTCCCTCAGGTTGCCTATTTATACCCCCCCCCCCCTCCCTTTAAAAATGAGTGCCCTCCACAGCTGAGGGTGTAACAGAGTGAAGTGCTTGTGAGCAGGCTATACATATGATGTCACTGTGGTCAATCAGCCGCTCCAGGGTGACACTCAACCTGATTAATGGGATAAGGGAAGTGAGGCTTTAAATGGAGTTGGGAGGGTAATTAATACCACAAACCACTGTTCTCTGGATGAAATATAAGATGCTACAGCGAAATTGTCAACAAAGTACAGGATGAACTGGAACCCAGTACACAAAAAGTGAAGGTTGGCTTCATTCTCCGAATGGGGGCAAATAACGTCTGTGCAAAATGCCACAGCAGTCCATTCAATTGTAGTTGCTATACCTCAGTCTGTACTGATGGGCTGGCCCAACCTTCCCTGACCCTCCAACCAATAAGCTTGTAGCAATGTGCTTCTTTTTTTTTTTGACACTTCTTGGCTTCTTCTGCTGTCCCCATTTTCGACACAATCATTAATCATGGATTATTTCCCCAAGCATGGCCCACTCACTGAAAGTGTGCATGAAGTTCTGGAAACGCCTCATGGGATGGCGCTATGGACTTTGTGGCCTGGCTGTCCCGACGACTGGCTTTGAACAAAGAATCAAAGTCTGATGCAGAAAGATGTGGAGAGACAGACTTTGAGAGAACGAGGAGGAAGACATAAATGTGGGCGTGGAGGGAGATGCACTGGGAGCAGAGACCCGGCAGAGAACATTGATTTATTACAAGCCAAACATCGCTGTCATTAATATTTCCGCCCAAGTGGTATTGACAAGTCCTCCAAACTAAATAACGTTATTGGAAACATGATTTAGAGTTACAGCTCATGCACACCAGCAGGCTAAAAAGTATTTATTTAAGTTTGTATATGCATGGTAGCGTCTCCGGAGGGGAACTGAAAGTCAATGTTAAACGCTACAATCAGAATGTTTAGGTGTCAGAGAAAGGACAGTATCGTTACCTGTCCACTTCTGCAACAGACTGGATGGGCTTAAAATAACGTAGAAATATCTGTGGGTTTTTCATCTCTTTTCGGATACGAAGAGCCTATGTAAAGAAATGTCATTATCAAATCACTCTGACAAATGACTGGTCAAATATGATTTCTCGCACAATTAAGAAGAAATGCCAAGATATTTTGATTCTTGTAGATGATACTATATCTATCCTTGCTTAAATTGTTTGGTAATGGTTTTAGAATTTCTAAGATGCAAGGGAGTGTATTTTCTTTTAGCATGTAGATGATGGGAACATCTTTTGATATTGGTAACATTCAACATTAACCTCTCGCGCATCTGCATGGGATGTGCCTTGTTTCTGAATAACTTCAACATAAACCCTTCTGCACAACTATTAGATGCTTATGGCAACTGACGTATAAAGTGCATAAAAGTCCACTTGATGGGCGGATAGGACATACTAACACTGGGTCCTCTTCTAAGACACCACTTTTACAGAGCCGAAAACAAAATGTTCTTTTGCTACAGAACTTATTCACTTATTCACTTATTAGCGAACAAATGCTACATGTATATGCTATATACTTTCGTTCTGCTCAGGGATTTGACAGATGATCAATGAGGTTTTGCCGAGTAAGGTAAGGAGATGAAACTCTGGGCTTGCACAATTTATGTCCCTTGGTGACCTCACTCTGGCTATAAGAAAGACCCTAACAAGTATCTAGAGTTGTTATTTATATGAAAAAACAAGCCACATACTCTTTCACTTAAATGAGATGAGATTGAAACCTGTTAATAACGTGTGTTGTCAGCAGTCTGTCTTCTCAGATACAAGGAAAAGACGACATAAAACTAATGCAGCATGTCAAAGAACAACCCAGGGGTTGGAAGCAGAGCGTGAC